GTGTGATAAAAAGGCTTTGTCAACTAGGAATAGAGTAAAACATTCTTAATATGCTGAAGATATCCACAAAACATATATAGCTAAAATCATACTCTATGGAAATGTAAAGACATTCTATTTAAAATAAGAAACAAGTCAAAGATGTCTACTATCATAATTATTATTTAGTATTGTACTGGAAATGCTGGTCTGTGCATTAAATAGCAGCAAAAAAAGAACAAAGGGTATACAGATTAGAAAGAAGCAAAGAAAACTATCATAATTCACAGATGACTGATTATCTACAAAGAAAATTTAGGAAAATCTACAATCAAATTATAAGAATTAATGAGTTCTAGGCTGGGCGTGGTGGCTCAGACCTATAATCCTAGCACTTTGGGAGGCCAAGGCTGGCAGATCTACTGAGGTCAGGAGTTTGAGACCAGCCTGGCCAACATGGTGAAACCCTGTCTCCACTAAAAATACAAAAATTAGCCAGATGTGGTAGTGGGTGCCTGTAATCCCAGCTACTTGGGAGGCTGAGGCAGGAGAATCACTTGAACCCAGGAGGCAGAGGTTGCAGCGAGCAGCGATCGTGCCATTGCACTCCAGCCTGGGTGACAAGAGCAAAACTCCATCTCAAAAAACAAACAAAAAGGACTTAATGAGTTCTACAAGACTGCCAAATAGAAGATGTATTAATATAAAGAATTTTAACTATATATAGCAATAGTTGGAAAATAAAACTTAAGAAAAAAATACCATTTAAAAGAACAAAAAGTAATGTACCTAGCAATAAGTCTAACAAGAGACATGCAAGAACTTCATGTAGAAAATCATAAGCTTTAAATGAAAAACCTTTAAAGAAGAAATAAGTAAATGAATAAGTAAATGGAGAGATATACTATGGTCATGTATAGAAAGACTTAATATCACAAAAGATACAGAATTTTCATAAATTAATCAATAGACTTCATACAAGTCCAAATACCAGAAAGAATGTTTAACTTGGCAATGTGATTCTAAAATGTGTGAGAAAAGTCAAGTACTAGCCAAGGCTGAACTAAAAAATAAGTAGGCTGGATGATTTGCCCTTTCAGATGTTAAGGCTAATCATAGAACAATAATAATTTACAAATTGTGATATTCATAGGGATAGTTAAACATCACAGTGGATAGAAAAAAGAATCCAGGTTCTGCATATACAGAAATCTGAGCATACAGGGCATATTATTGGGAAAATATGCCAGAAATTTTCTTACCCATACAGAAAAATAAATATAGATATGTTATGGACTGAATGTTTTTGTCCCTCCCAATTTATGTGTTGAAGCCCTAAACCCCAGTGTGATTGTGACAGCATTTGGAAACGGAACCTTCAGGAGGTAATTAGGTTTACATGAGGTGCTGAGGGTAGGGCCCCCATCATAGCATTAGTGTCCTTATAAGAAGAGGAAGAGAGAATAGGAACAGAGCGATCTCCCTCTCTCCATCACTTGAGGGGACAGCAAGAAGGTGAGCCAGGAAGACAGCCTCTCCAGAAATGGAATCTGCTGAAACCTGATCTTGGATATCCCAGGCTCCAGAGCTGTAAGAAATAAATATCTATTGTTTAAGCTGTCCAGTGTATGGTATTTTGTTATGACAGCCCAAGCTAAATGATATATGATGCCTATATGACACTATATAAAAAATTCTATTCTAAGTGGATTAAAATCATAATTGAAAAAGAAAAAAACCTTAACACTTCTGATAGAAAGCATAGGAGAAATATCTTTCTGACACAGATTAGGGAAGTACTTCTTAAGTAAGACACAAATCTGCTAATTTACAATGGAAAATACTGATACATTTTATTACATTAAACATAACCTCTATTTATCAAAGACACTGTAAAGTGAACACAAAGACAGCCATAAATGGGAAATGCTGTTTGTAAAACATAACCAACAAAGAATCTGCATCCAGACTGTTTAAAGAGCCTATGTATATCAAAACGAAAAGGTAAAAAAATAGAATAAGTGCTGAACAAGAATTTTCACAAGAAAGAAAATATGAATGACCAATAAACATATCAAAAGATGGTAAAACTGGGCAACAGAAGAAATGCCAATAATATATCATTTTACATACATGCACATACACACATTAACCAGTGGCAATTGCAAGAGTTGAAGGAAAGTGGAACAATAGGGATTGTCCCATTTCAACAGTGAGAGGATCAATTTGTGATATGTGAAAACTACTGAAAAAGACCTTGTCACTATCTAGAAAAGTTGAACACATGCATAACTTACCTCTATCAGGGATACACTCTAGAGAAATAATTGCAATTGTGAACCAAAATATGTGTACAAAAATGTCTGCAATATTATTCAGAATCACCGAAAAACTAATAACATCCTGAATGTCATCAATATAGGAATGCTAATTTGTCATATATTAATAAAATGGAATATTATATAGCAATGAAGATACACAAGCCACAGCTACTCTGCTTATTTCTATTATTAAATGCCATAATCAGTGTTGACTGAAGAAACAAAGCTAGTCAAAGAAGAGCTATAAAAGCCAAAACAGACAAAACCCAAACCCATATTGTCATATATATACATATACATATATGCATTTTTTTAACATCACAATATAAGTAAAATTCAAGATAGTGGTCTTGGCAGGACTAGACTGAGAGGGAATGTAACAGAAGACAATTCAAGGATCAACAAAAGTACTGGTAATGTTCTATTCTTCAACTAAATGATGGGTTCAGGCCTGTTCATTTAATTATTCCTTCATTAATTCATATTATTACACACATTATATTATATTATATACATTCTATATTATAAAAGAATATAGAATCTCAGATCTTTATTTTCAGTCTCTGTATAAAAAAAACCCAGGGTCAAAACAGCCCCAAATAATACTTTTTAAAATGGAATTTAAAAATACGGCAGACTATAAAATAGCCTGAAATTCTGTTGGTGGGACATACCCTCTCCATGGCCCTCCAAAGGCTTAGATTAATGTTCAGGAGATTTATTGTTTGCCTGAGGAAACAACTGAGAAATTTGAAGCCTGTAGCTTTATTGGTTTTCCTCCTTGATAAATAATTTCACCCTCTCCTTAACCCTGTGGAAAGCCAGGGTTTTCCAACAATGGAAAAGAAACTCTTACTCCCAAGAAAGTGCTGAAATGGCAGTGATCTCAGGGGCCAGAAGGTCTCCACCACCTGCCACACCATATTCTTGTCCACAGGAGCCTGTCCTAGGAATGTTCCCACCAAGGATCATCATCCAGATTTTTATCAGCCACTGTGCAGTCAGTGTTGCTCTCACCACAAAGTCTCTAGAAGGCAACTCTCCGCAGGATCCTTGTTGAACTTCCTAATAACCTTTCCAGCTATTTTATAGAATCCATTTGTCAAAAAAATAAATAAATAAATTGATGTCTCATTAGACGGTGTGACCAAAACCTCTCTACCATACCTGAGATCAGACATAAGTCCAAGGCACCTCATTGCAGCTGGCAGTGTCTCAGCTCCTATAATCAGGGAGACTTAGTAAATACTCCAGTGACAGGGGTAATGCCTGAGCCATTGATATCTCTGTACAAGCAGCCTTCCCATTTTGTTTCTTTAAACCTTCTCATGTTGCTTCTTGATCTTGTCAATGGGGGGATTTGGGAGACAATCCATGCTTTCCCTAGCATCCATTGTTGGGTTTACATGCATTATAATATTTTAAGATCTATTCCTTCCCCATATCCCAAATCACCTTGGTTTCATCAACTGCTATTCTCTGCACCGTATCCAGCTGCAGCTTCTTTCTTTCTTTCCTCATGATTATGATAAAGGCCAGCAGAATCCCATGCTACACTCTGTTTATTTGGATATCAGAGCAAAGTTTGCACTGGAACCTTGTGGCATGTGGAGAGAAGGTGTCACACAGGGCAACCAAAGCATGGGTGAGCCCCTAGTTCATTAAAGTGGCTGAGGATAAGGGGGTACTGGTGTAGGTATTTGGTCATTAGGCAGAGATTAGTCTTTCAAGAAATAGGCTCCAGACTCAAGCTGAATCCATGTCTGAGCTGAATAAGGACAGTGGTGCTTTGTCTGTTCGGTTGCCATGGCAGAGAAAGAGAGCTAGGCTGGCCTCAGAATAGCTGATATTCAAGAAGAAAAGCTAACAAAGTTATCACAGGGAATTTGGACAGGTGAAAGAAACAAATAGCTTTAAAATATCAGAGTTACCTAAGAATGTTCAATTTTCCTTTCTATTTCTGGAATGCCAATACATCTCTGTGGGATAATGAAAAGGATGTAAATGGAATGGAAATATCACATCTGAAATCTTATGTTTAGAATGTGGATATAGATATATGGTACCACTACACAGCACTTTGACTTCTCTCCTGAGCCCTAAATTGGATGTGACTGTTGATAGATTAGTTTTGTCATTACCTATAGTTTCTTTTCAGACTTCCCTCCTTGAAACTTGAATTTTGTGAGTTTTACATTTAAAAATGTGGTACCAACTCTTCTCAACCACTCCCACTTGTAGGACTGAAGTTGAGGATCCAATCATGGAAAATGCTCTTGAGCCAACCTGAGAACATAGGTAAGTACCTACTGCTCTCAGAGTCAGGTAATTGTCTCTTAGCTCAGACTACAGTTAATAGAATGGCAGCTTCCATTTAGCACAAACAACCTGAAAAAGTTCTAAAGAAAATGTGGTAAGGAAGACAGAGAACATCTGCTGCCTATTAGGGACTAGCTAAGAATCTGAAAGTAGAAAAGAGAGAATGTGATTCTTTAATGTTGTTTTCATGAACAGTATGTGGAAAGCTCAAAATCAATATTGTTAAAACCCTGTTTCTGAAAAGGTACAAGGAGGTTCTGAAATAAGTTACACGTACATTGACACAAATTTTACACTTTGTCGAGATAATGTATAAGTAATCTGTTTCCATGCTAACTAAGATGCCCACCCCCCGCCAAAATGAAGAAATGCTGGACTCACATTGGTGACATATTCGATATCCTTCCAAAGGATGCACTCCCTGGGGAAATCAGCCAAGTCTAAGAAATGATCCACCACCACTTGGCCAATTAAGTCATGACGAGAGAACCTGTCAAAGTCGTACACAGAGAAGTGAAGCTTCCGTGCTTCAAGGTCATTGTAGGGAACCGGAAATAAAAACACTTCATCAAACACAGGGTTCAGGGTCTTTCTGTGAACTTTAGTCTGGTGTTTTGTTTTCCTATCAGGAAGCAAATAGATCTTCACATAAGGATCTGAAGTCCCAGAAAAGTCCTTGGCAGGCAAATTGACAGCTTTGTGAATCTTCACTATGAGCTGCTCTAAGTCACAGTCATATTTTAAAATGAAGTTCAGTTTCCCACACGCCTTGCTGTTACTCCGTCTCCCATCATCATTATCCAAGGACCTCTGCTTATATAACTCTGGTTTAATTCTACCAATTCCAGTCAACTGTTCCTGTTTTTGAAGTTGCTGGATATTGAAGTCCGGGTTTGACAAGTTGAGTTGTCTTCGGATTGAATTATGCCTTGAATGAAGAGCAACACAGAACAAAGTTATAACCTTATTAGCTATGGGTCTCTCAGAAACTTTTGCTTGGGATGTAGGTAGACTGTTATATGCTGTCAGGAGCTTAGATCTGTGGGCCTTTGTGAGTGTGTGTGTGTGTGTGTGTGTGTGTGTGTCCTAAATTCAAAATGCTCATCAGCGTGATTAAGCTGCTCTCTAAGGCTTGAAGCTCAAAACTGAGACTTGGTATCAGGAAATGAACCTAGTAACATGTGACCTCAGAGCTTTAAAGGTTTAATACACTTTCTAAACTGTCTAATATGCCATTAAAGAAGCTTACCCGTCTGGTGGAATGTAAAGATTTATACAAACTGCTTTAAAAATAAAATTATTCAACTTATATATAATATCATTCTGAAATTGAAATAGTCAAGTGTTGCCTTAAGAAGAATGAATCTTTCTCTAAATGACACAGAATTTCTTGCCGTTAGCTTATAGCTTTATAAGGATATGAATGCTTACTGATTCAAATAAAATCATTTCATCACAAGAACACAGTTTCTGCTCATGCAAAATGTATATGACTGGGATGTGGCTGCATGCAGTGGCTTGTGGTGGCTCTGACAGGGGCAAGTGACAGCATTGGGGCTGTGCTTTTGCTGTGCACATGGGTGATTAGTGATCAAGAGGACAGGTTCATTTCTGAAATAAATACTAATGGCACAAAAATTAAAGATAAGCTACTATAAATGCATGTACGGATTCAACTGGAAGATGGTTGCATACTGATATTTGCAAATTAAATATTTGCTAATATAGTATACTCTTATAAGTTTATTGATTTGGGTTAGAAGTTTCCCTAAAATTCTCCTTAAAGTCTGTCTGATCTGTGTATGTCTTCACAAATTGAGGGAAGTAGTCATTACATACAAGGTTGTTTTTAAGGTTACTTTTGTTTGTTTTTAGCTCAGAGTTTAGAGTCATTATATTGTATTGCATGCATTCCCTCAATAACCTTAATTAAAATAGCCTCTTTACTAGAAGGTGAAAGAGAACAGCTGGGATGTCTCTTAGGGATTGGTAAACAGTTGGAGAGGCAGAGTAAACATTTAAATTTGCCTTCTCTTCCTTTCTTAAGACAATGAAATAAAGATGTAAAAATGGAACTAAGGGACCCCAGATATGTTTGAAAGTATTCTCCCTTGTCATCATGGATGTTATGCTGAGCATTCCTCTTTATCCTAAAATAGCCTCCTCATCACTAATTACCCACATAGTATGACAAGAGCACTGTCACAGAGCTGTCACTTGTACCTGTCACATCCAACACAGTCCATAGCAGGCAGACATAGCCCAGTCACATACATTCCCACATGTACAAAAACTGTGTGGACTGAAAGTTGCTGTTGTGAGATTTTACTCTCTTATAGAGAAATCCACAATCTTAAGGTGTCTCTGTATTTTATGATTTGGTTGAGCAGGAAAGGGAAGGGAGGACTTGCTGTTAAACATCTAAAACTGGCTTTATGTGCTAGTGCAGCCAGGTCATTCCCTTGTCCAGAAGTGGAACCAATATAATGCTAGAACAGAGCTTGAGTCTCACTTTACTGGACTCTGTGGGCAGAAAGGGTTGGGAGGCAGCAGAGAAGTACCCTGCCATATGTAGAGGCCAGAATAGGCTGGTGCCAGCCCTGTCTCCCTCTGCTATTGATTTTTCTTTACAGGCTAGATTCGAAAAACATCCATAATTATGTCCTGGGTCAGTTCCTATCCTTCTAGGTGCTGTCTAGTAAGTGGTGCTGTTTACATGATAAAAGTGCACCCTCAAGATCCACTGGATGCTCCTTCTTCAGATGAGTCTGTGGTGGACCAACAATTCTGTGTCTGCACAATCCAGCCCCAGACAACAAGCTCATGTCAGCCCTAGGCCCTGTCTCTCTGCTCCCCAGGTAGTTGCTGGGCAGACTCAGTGCAATACAATTTACCTTTGAATTTTCTTAGTACTGGCACTAGATTCATCATAGCAACATTTGTCTTCACCCTTGTTTGTAGGACTTAATCTACCATAGTTTTAATTTTAATTAAAAATACATAGATTTGGCTACTTAGTAGTGTGACATATTCTGTTTTACATGTATATTTTCTTAGACATGAAATCTGAAGAGAAATTATCCTGCATGCTCAACTCTTCCTAACCAAAGTGGATTGCCAGCACAGAAAGGGGCTTGTTGGTGTAGTTCAAGGCCTAAAAAAAAGATCTCATTCCCTGAGAACCCACTGCACAGTAATCCCTTCAAAAACTCCCTATACAGCTGAAGATTCCTCTTAAAAACCAATCACAGTTACGGGCTAGGTGCAATGGCTCACGTCTGTAATCCCAGAACTTTGGGAGGCTGAGGCTGGTAGATCACTTGAGGTCAGAAATTTGAGACCAGCATGGTCAACATGGTAAAACCTTGTCTCTACTAAATATACAAAAATTAACCAGGCATAGTGGCACATGCCTGTAGTCCCAGCTAGTTGGGAGGCTGATGCAGGTGGCAGAGGTTGTGGTGAGGAGATAATGCTGGGGCACTCCAGTCTGGGTGACAGAGAGACCATCTCAAAAAAAAAAAAAAAAAAAAAAACAAACCCGAAACCAGAAAAAAAACAAACAAAACCACAGATATGAATACTATTATCTACTCAAACATTTTACATGATTAATTTCATTACCAACACTTTCCCCTCCATTCAGAATCACACTTACTATTGGGAACTCAGTTGAATCTAACTGTAAGGTAGTGGCTTAAAGCAGATAGCAAAGACTATAACAGGGCATGACAGATTCTCACTCCTGGGGCTCCCTTTCAATCTCTTTCAATTTCCATCCAGAAGACAGTTAGAGTTTACTGGAGTTGGGGGAGAGGCATAATAGAATAGTGAAGCTTAGAACAGCCAGAGAACCAGGGTAACTCATAACCTCCCCATATAACCTCTGGAGCTATGGGGGCTGAAAATGAGAAAGCAGAGCAGGGAGACTGCCCCAGGGACATAAAGGGGAAGAGGAGGTGGAGGAAATGGAAAATCAATATTCTATGGCTCTCATAGGCTACTCAAACAGAGGTGGGAAGAAAAAGCAAGAGGGAGGAAAGATAAGGAATATAGTGCCATGACCTGAACTTGCCTCATCCCAGGTGAGGTGGCTCTAGATGGTAAATGGAGGTGGTTTTGAATGCAGTAAATGAGAGGCTCCCAGAGCAAAGGTCTAGAATTTTAATGCCACTAAGTGACATGAATGACATTGAGGGAACGTAGGAATGTAGCAAAGAGAGATCCATGTCTGAAGCAGACAGGCCTCTGAGTAGGTATGGGGAGTCCTGTATTTTGTTGTTCTCAGAACTTAATGTGCACCATGAATTGTTAAAAAAAGTGGACCCCAAAGAAAGTGGGTCAGAAGGAAGGTTGAGAGATGATCTCCTCTACAAATAAGCCACATTCTAATGCTGTTGCAGAGAAGCTGGCTGCTGGGGTTGGAACTCTCAGCTTCCTCCACCTCCCATTCTCTCTCTGGATGGGAAAAGGCTATTTTCCTCTTACGGAAGAGACAACAAAGAGAAATTAAAGATTCAACTTGGCTACCCCAACCTAAGTTGGAAAATAGTGGTTGAAGCTGTGGAAAGCTTGAGTTCAAAGATAATCAACAAAATGTGCAAAGTAGATTTCCCATAAGAAACTCAAAAAGATACTTTCATACCTGGAGAAATCTGAGCCTTGTGCTGAGTTGCAGTCAGAGGTCAGGAAGGGTCAGAAGCCCAGAGGTACAGGGTTTTCTCCTCCTTTCCTTTCCTCAAATGTGAATTAACCAGTCCCAGCTTTAGGTTAGTTAGTCCCTAAACTATCACCCAACAAGCCAACTGTGTCAATCAGCTCTTAAGAGACAGGACATACGGCAATTCAACAAATTCGAATTTGCAAAGCCAAGTGTCAAATAAGGTGGAAGGTACAGAATAGAAAAATGTAGTCACTGTCTTGAAGGAAACAGCTGTCCAGGCAGGCGATGAGATAGTCCCCACAACCCCATAACTACAAAGTGGGGCAGAGGATTAAGTACAGATCAGGGATTAGAAAGTCCTAGAAGAAGAGAGGGAGAAAGCCCTCTGGCTGAGGAAATTTTTGTGAAGGAGATGATACTTGAGGTGGGCTTGCTTACTTAACTTGGTTGCATCCTTAGCTACCTCCAAGCTGATGCTGTAGACTTCAATACAGACATTAACTCCATTTTCATCTTGGTCGCAGCTCTCTAGCAGGATGGGACTTTCAGCTCTTCTGCCCAGTAGCTTTTTCAGAGTCCCTCACATACACTGCATCTTTGAGTTCAGACTTTGTACAAGCCAGCACTCATATCCCCAACACCCCATCCATCTCGGGCTTTCCTGTGCAGCCATGAACAAGTGCACCCTAAGGTATGTTCCTTCACTGTAGTAGCCCAGCTCAGAGGTGAAACCAGACCTGTCCTTTCCCTGGTTCTTGGGCACCAGTGTTTGCCAGGCTTCAGGATTCAAGGAGAGAGAAGATAGAAGCAAATTGTTGTTTCAGAAATGTTACTGGTTTCTTTCCTATGTTCAAGTCAAGGCAGAGAATTATGGAAACAATGGAGAAAGGATCTTGTTTTTCTTCTTCAAAACTCCCCTTGATCATGAAGAAGAGAGAGTTGGTCTGTCCTGAACCACAGGCAGACACAGAAGAAGGGGAAATCCTGGATAGGGACAGACACAGTTAGTAGACTACAAGGGCAGGAGGAAGTGGAAATCTGAGGCTTTCTTGGTCTGAAGATTCAAGGGCTTCCAGCGTAAGTGAGATAATGAAGAGACAGGCATCAGGCCTTGGGGCCAGTGGAGGTGTGTGGTCAAGTACAGGTGGATACACTGAGGCAAGACTTGCTTCCTCCCTCTCCCTCCCAATTTAAGCCTATTTGAAACCTTGAATATTTTATCCTCTACAACCAAGATGAGCCTTTGTTCACCAAAACTTTCTCTAAAGTAGCTCATGTCATATAACTTTTTTCATTCCCATTGATCCCAGCTGAGTTCAGGCCCTCTGACAGGCCCCTGTCTTCATCACTGTCCCATGCATCTTATATATTCTTTCTAGATTAATCTTCTAAAGAACAAATTGAGACTTCATTGTGTATAATTGGTGCTCTTGCTATGGGTCTTTTGAGGGCAGGATTATATATTTTTTTCTCTCTTCATTGCCACCACCTAATACTGAATTTTGCACATAGCAAATGCCTAATATCTGTGTCTAGAGTAAATACAGAAATGCTATGGATAAAATAATTTCTCATAATTTTAAGCCCCGTAGAGAAAATACTCATTTACATATGGTTTCAGAGTCTCATGGAAGTTGAGATAGGTCTAGGCAACTTCCACTTTTAAAGCAGTTAGCTTATTTGAATATGAAGAAATAAACATGATTCAAGAGTTATGTTTTAGATGTTTACATTGAACCAATGTTCTCACCACACAAAAATATAACTTAATAGAAATGTGCTACTCATAGCATAATTACAACATTTAAGTTTTGTGTACTATTTACTGGAGTTGTGACCAGTCATGGGACCTAAATTAGAGTGTGATGGTTATCTTCCTCTTTCAATTCTGTCAGCATATTTCTATAACTCTATGGAGTTGCTTAATTCAGAGATAGGGCCAAACACCTAACGTGGGGCTCTTAATGAATGTGAGACCTGGGACAAATGGCCTCCTACCAACCTCACCATTACAGGCTCCACTCAGTTATACTTCTGGCCCTTTGCCATTCTTGTCAGATGAGCAAGAGAAAAGTGGCCTGATATTCACCAACATATTCTGTCAGTCATTCATGGAAAGAATTTCTCCGTGTGCCAAGGGTTGCTAGGGGCTGGATAGATAAAAAGAGACAAAACAGGTGTGGCCTCTGGGCTCACAGAACTCAGTCTAGAGGGGAGTACAAGCAATAAATAATCACTTAAAGTAATTTAATACTGGGTGCAGTGGCCCATGCCTGTAATCCCAGCACTTTCAGAGGCTGATGCGGGCAGATCATGAGGTCAGGAGTTTGAGACCAGCCTGGCCAACATGGTGAAACCTCATCTCTACTAAAAAATACAAAAATTAGCCAGGCACGGTGGCATGTGCCTGTAGTCCCAGCTGCTTGGGAGGCTGAGGCAGGAGAATCGCTTGAACCCAGGAGGTGGAGGTTGCAGTGAGCCAAGATCGTGCCACCGCATTCCAGCCTGGGCGACAAGAGCTAAACTCCTTCTGAAAAATGATAATAATAATAATAATTTAATCCTGTGAAGGAGTGAAAACAAGGCAATGCAAGAGAGAATTAAAAGTGGGAAGGAATGGGGAACAGAACACAGCCTTCAGATGGGGTGGCTGGGGAGGCCTTTCTGAGAAGGTGATGTTTCACATAAGGCATTAGGGAAGTAAAGGACCTGAGAAGGGTAAAAAAAAAAAAAAAAAAGGAAAACTATTTCTGGCTGAGGGAACATGTGTGAAGACCTCAAGGCAGGAAGGGGCTTGGGAAGCTGAAGGAACTAAGGGAAAGGCTAGTGTAGCTACAGTATAACGAGCTTCTTCCATGCAGTCTCCTATTGAATTCATGTTAAAAGTGTCCCCTAGGGTTCTGCAACATGGTGGCCCTGGCCATAGGTAAGGCTGGACGCAGACTGTGCAGAATTATCATGCAAAGCCTTAACAGACTTGATAAGGAGTTTGTGGTGTGGTAATTGAAATTTTTGAAAAACTGAAGTGTTACATAAGAAATTTGAGAAGACTTAAAAAAAACAGGATGAACTTTCATCTTAGGACATGAATCAGTAAATGGATTAGATGGCCTTTCAAGGTTCCTTCTATTTTGAGGATCCAGGGATTTTCATACATTTGGAGTAGAGAACTTTATAAAGCTGTGGTATTAAAAAATTCTGAGAAAATTAAAACATCCACATTTCCAGCATATTGGGTCACTGTACAAAAGGAATTTCATTCAAATCAAAAAGAATTAACAGGAATTTTGGATGATACTAATAGTCACTGAGATAACTAGACACAGAATCCTAACATGCTCGATCTTGAAAGAACAACAGAAAGTCATTCTGATCAGAAACATTTTTAGAAGATAAAACAAAGCTCATCTTTAAGACATTCCAAAAGGGCACCGCGTCAGCCAAACATATCCAAGAACACAACCAAGCTGAAGAGGCCAGGTGAGGTTGAGATCTTTGATGTAATTGCTGCAACAAAAACTGTGCCAATCGCAAGGATCCTGAAGACATCTTTAGATGGAGGCTATGTCTTATGTGCACTGGGAACCCTGAGATAATGGTTGCCCTGAGACAGTGATAATGGCTGCAGGATGGAAGCAGTAAGGAAGACAGTGTTGGCAGGGAGAAAGCAAAGAACATAATGAGAAAGAAAGGAGAAGAAACAGTAGCTGAAAAAGCAGACTGTTTAGAGCTCTCTCAGCCAAGGTTATCTTTCCCCTCCCTAAATATGGTTATCAAATATGTTACTTAAAGAAGAATGTTAAAAATGCTTTGAGGCATAAAGGAAACCTCATTGTTTTTTTCCATTTTGTTAGCAAAAAGGATGTATATGTGTGTGCATTTTCTCATGATGCAACTCAATTCCCAAAGAATTAGAGGAACCATGCACTGCTCTTATTGTGGTGAGATCCTGAGACAAGAATATGTATTTCCAGACAGACCCCATAAAACTAGGTCAGTAGCAATTTAGGTATGAATGTTTTAAACGCATAACAATGAAAATTGTCAGTATTAGATCGGATGCAGCTAGAAAGAGTGGTTTTCTTATGGTAGTTCAGATATTGCTAAACCTGATCGTTGCCATCAGAAAAGATAATGTAATTGCATGCCTCCCAAACTAAAATAAATTTGAACACAGAGTGCATTTTACAGGAATAATTCCTTCACTCTACCTCTTTGTGTTCTTCCTTCTATCCAATTTCTACAAATCAGTAGTGATGATAACCGTTTTTATTTTTTAAGCAAATACTTACTGATATGCAGAGTGCTGATATGCTTTTCCAGTATAAATATTGTGATAATTATAGTGACATCATTGCTATCAGTTTGCTAGAATTATGGCAGAGCTCTCAGATCAAATCTAATAAGATCACAGTACGTACTACCACTATATATTGGAGGAACCGAGACCAGAAAAGTTACATGCAGAGTAGAACAAAATAGGAGACAATTTCGATGGAAATTTCAATGGAGACTCCACCTAAAAGGCTCTAGTTATTGAAATACTGAAAGGATTTGATTATGAGTCTGCACATTCCATGAGCTTTATGACAGCATCAAACAGAGCTCTAGTTATATTTAAGTCTTAAATCTGAAGATAAATCCTAGTGATAAAATCTGAGGATTTCTTCTAAATCAAATGGCAAACAACTACCCATCTCCTCACGAAGGAATATTTGAGATTTGCCTCTTTGATTCAGAATTGGAAATAATGCAAAAATAAGTTTCTAAAACAATCAAATTATAAACTGGCATATTCCATCCCACTTAATGAGAGTGAGTGGAGCCTCTAGGATAAACTCAATTAACATGAAAAGGGTAAAGTCTTATTTCTGTTTCTGGAGAACAAACAATAAAGATTTCTAAAAAATACCTCCAAACTGTGCTTATACTTTCCAAATAACAGCACACGCTATTCCTCTGGCCATCACTCAGGCCAATATTTTCATTCTAAAGAGAGCTGCTTCCTGAGTCTCTTTTCCTGAAATCTCTTATTGAAAATGAGTTTTTATATCCAGTGATTTAGAACTGTCTGTTTAGCCTCAAACACAATTTTGTGCAACGTCTGAGCCTTGGGAGAGGCTGTAATAGCAATACTAACAGCAAAATGGCAGCTCGCATTTTGGAATATTTACTAGGTGCCAGAACTGTGCAGCACATGTTATCATTTCAGTCTTAAAACCACCTACAAATCAGTACTATCTATTCCTCTTTTGAGGAAGAGGAAATGGACACACATGGAGTTTTAAATAATTTGTTCAATTTTACACATGTAAGTAAAGGCAATACATTTGACTTGAGAGACTGTGCCTTTTATCACTGCATTATATTATTTCTCTACTGCTGAAGAACAGAAAGCATCCAGACAATGAAAAGAGAGTGATCCAGACCTGGTTACTCTGTAACCCTCCCAAAGGCTGGAGATGGACAAATACCTTCAGCCACACCGTGGAGTATGAAGAGAGCCTGTGCTTGACTGTTAGGATAGGTGAGATGCACAGGGAATAAATTCTACAGCAGTAGGAGGGCATCAGGGAAGAGTGGTTAAGAACTCAGATTCTTGTGTTGGTTGAACCAGGGTTCCAACCCTGACCTGGGTGTTTACATATATGACTTTTTAAAAAATTTAATCTCCTGGACTTAAGTTTCTTCAACTATAAAATAAAAATGATAATAGTGTACATCTCATGCTAAGTTGCAAGCTATAATAAAATATGGATATAAAGTTCTTATAGAGTACTTCACACATGCTAAGTCTTAATATGTCAACTATTATTTTTATGAACTAAGTAGAGACCAGGAAGGACTCAGGAACCTAACTTCAGCATAGGAAGCATGGGGTTTCCCCATATTCATGTCTCTGATACAGAAGGGAAATCTAAAAGGTTATAGGCTCCTTGACCAATCAGTACTATTGTTGCCAGAGAGGGGAATGGTGTGGTTCTTGGCTTGCATTCAGAAACGAAGAGGCATTACTAACCGAACCGACGAGGTTGGCTCTGTGACTTGGCGCTGCACGCGGATGCCATGGGCACAGTTCTCCTGAACCCCTGCCTGGGTGGAGAGGGGAATGTCAGGGGAGGTGTGGCTGATCTTCATGGAGGAGTCAGGGCAGGGTGTGGGAGGGTCTAGGAAGTCCTCGCTGTTCTCCTGCTCATTGGTCTCTGTGTCCGTGTAGTTAAGAGGCTCCTGGTTGTTGTCTTTGCTACCAGAGGGCAGGCCTCGTTCTCGCCACGGAACCCAGCAGAGTTTCCAAGACACGAAGAGAGACACGCCAAAAAGAGCAAGACCACAGGCAGTGACCACAAGGGTCAGCAGGCTCACTGAGATATCTGCAAAGAAGCGAAGATCAAAGGTCAGTGTAATCATTCCTCCCACGCCCACCCATTGCATAGGGTGGGCAGAATGACCCTCTCATCCATTCCTCCCTTGGGAGGTGACTATGGAAGGCCATGCTGGGGCGCACAGCAGGGTTCCTTGATTCTGGGGCAGTGACAATGAGAATTCATACACAAGCCAGAGGACCGGTGAGCAAAAACACACAGGAGGTAACATGGCATGCAGGCTATGTTTACAAACAATAAACAGCCTGCTGTGGCAAGAAAATGAATATATTCATGGGGGCTAGAATGCCCTTCAAGTCAAATAAGACTCTATCCCACAGGCAGCACCAATCATTAATGTTTTTTGAGCAGGGCAATTCCAAATGTCCTTAAAAATTACTCTGTCATTTTAGAGAGCTGTATAATATAATCGAGGAACTGTGTGAGTCACAACTTCTTAAATTAAGAGAAACCAGAGTGCTTTTTTTTGGTTCTATTTTTCCTATTAACTTTTAAGGTTCTAAGCAAAATGAAGTTCAAGTCTTCTGTGGATTTTGCAGCTACAAGAACAACCCCCACTCAGTGGCAGATCCTCAGGACCCAGGATAGAATATTGTAGTTTGGGTTTCCCCAGTAGCACACCCTAAAAGAATTATTCAAGGGTAAAGCATTATTTAGAAGGAGAAAGGGAAGCCAGTAAAAGGTTCATTATCAAGCCAGTTCCTACAGTAGGGGAGTAAAGATTAAGCCTGCTGGGGAGGCCTAATACACCTCAGATATACTCTACCCAAGTTACAAGGGATCCAAGGTATTACACATTAGCTCTCTTTAGTTGTTAATTTGAGGGCATTTCCCAAAGGGCATTAAATTCCCATCATTTGAAATCTGCAGCCCAGATGAACAAAGTAAGCTCCAGTGGTCAGGAATACCCCACATTGAAATCAATGCAGAGGCTGCATTGGAGGTCAACAAGCACACACTGAAGTGGTAAGGGGATATGGCAGGTAACTGCAGCATCTGCTACATGGATCATGAACCACAGCCCCATGGGTTCAGCAAGTCTTGGCAGTACAATATCCATGACTGTGCCCCTAAGGTTCAAAACAGCTCACCCACTCCAGGCTTCTGCCCCAGGCTACAGTAGAGCCAGGGAGGCTGAGCATCAATCTGAAGGCATTTCTGGCACTATGGTGGCTGTAAAATCTTTATTTTAAAGAAGAACCCTTCCTGTCATTACTGCGCTTCATTACACTCAGGATCCCCAAGGATTCTCCCCAGGGTTTGCCTCTACTGCCCATCATTAATACTTGCATTGCTTCAACCAAAGTTTTCTGAATGCCTACTAATGCCAAGTGCTATGCTAAGCTCTGAGATACAATGAGGAACATGATAGGTGCACATGTCTTCACAGATTCATATTCTAATGAAGGAGAAAATTAGAAATGAGTCATTTGGTACTCACAATTTCAACTAGGCACAGCACTGCTAACATACCATGATCTGGGACAAAGTTGTATTTTTGCTGAATCATGCATGGGAACTCCTCCTGCAAGTCACTTACCTACCGAGTCAAGCTGAATAACTATCATCCATGTGCTTTTCAACATGACTCTGACAGCACTTGGTCATTCTTGTGAACTAATAAAACTGTTTATCAAAAACAGCTCTTAAAAGAAATCTAGCTGCCAGGGCTGGTAATGGATTTAACGTATTTCCTCTCTGCTTCCCAATCAATATTCACCCTTTTAGTGAAACAATATTATATCTCTGTTTGAAAATACTGGGGTTAAAATTTCAATATGGGTAACTGTGCAAATCTTTTTCACTTTTATCTCCTCAAATCCCATGGAAATGGGATAAGCAATAGAAAATAAGAAAGAGCATCACCAATTAATCAGTTAACCAGTAACTTTGAGGAATGTCTGGAATTGTTTTAAAAGAAAAGCCCATCGGTGTGAACATTTAATACAGGCAAATGAAGGGAAACTGAGAGAAATTTAAAATCCCAGGTGCAGAGCAACAGGCAGGGTTGGGGAACAGAGAGTGGAGTCTGTGGGGACAAAGTGAAAGGGGCTAGGAAGTATACCTCACAGAGCCTAACGTGAGGCAGGGGGGGCATGGTTTGACCCCAGACGCGACCTGGTTCTGACCACTCGCACAGGAGAGTAGAGAACATGCTGGTGCAGACCTCTATGATGGGTGACAGTCCTGGGGGACCAGGAAGGAGGAAACTCTGTCCCAGGTAATCCGGCTGCAAACATCGATCCCTACCTTCTCTAACACAAAACAGGTTCTACATAGCAGTGAAATCCCTTAATACATTCTGTAATCTAAATGGAGACAAAACTTCTGTACATTCTGTTAATCACTTCAACTCTGTCCTGAGATAGACACTGCTAGGAGACCACCAGCAAAGGGTGGAGGAGGGGCACATTGGGAGGACGTCGGATTTAGGAATGTGATGAGATAACTGTATTATTACTCACCAAATAGTCACTGTGTCCTATCACAGGGCTCCTCTCCAAGGGAGAAGCATAAATCCCAATCCCCAATGTTGGTCTTGGCCATATGACTTGCTCTGGTCAATGACATACGAGTGAACATGGCCCATGCCACCTTGAAGCAGAGGTCCCTTGTGCTCCCACCTTCTGCATGAGAAGAAGAGCTCTCGGATAAGAGCTGATTGTCCAGCCTGACTGCCATAATGAGAAGACTTGTGGCATTAACCCAAAGTGCAAAACAAGGAGAAAACTAAAACATGACTGACAACCTGGGGCAAAGCTACAGCTGACCCACAGATCCATTAGCAAAACCTAAATATTTAGTGTATTAAGTAACTAGAATTTTAAAGGGATGTTGCCACAAAAACAACAAAAGCTAATTTATGTGGTCATATAATTTACTGTCCAAAGCTGGGACACGTTTAGGAGAGACAAGGGGTTATATTAAGAATTACATAGGGATAAGATGCTTAGGAGTGTCCAGGGAAAATTAGGACATAGGGTCATCATAAATGTAAGAACCCCATGTGACCTCTTAACTCATCAGCTTAGCACAACATGACCTCTCAGGTTTCACTTGGCATAGATAGCATATTGAGTAAAATGAAGTTCTGCCTCACTTTTAACTAGTAACCGCAGGACCTCTGACCCAGTTCAAGAACAATTCCAGCTTGTTAGTTGTCTACAGCTCTTGCACTCACAAAACAGCCTGCTCAGAAATCCAGTCATGGGGGATCCAGAGGAGCAGAGATCTTGTCCATCTCAACACTGAGTGCCAAGAATCTAAAAGAGTTCCTGGCACATAGTAGGCATTCAGCAAGTGACAAAGCCTGCCTGAGGAGCTCTGTACCATCTGCTATGTCTACCTTGAATTATTGTTGTGTGGGTTGTGGCCTGTAAGCCCTAGGGGCACCAGTTACACTCATAGTCATTATAGGTTTTTGTGCATGTTGTTATTTTTTAAATTATGGCAAATAGCAGGAGTGGCTTTTTTTCTGATTTACACAAAGGTGCTGTGTGAGTTAGCAGTGGCCCAGAGAGAAATGCCTGCAGGAAACACTATTGGTGACCTACACAGCCACACCAGACACCAAGCATAATTGTCTGTACTACTGTTTACTAATAGCTGAGTATGCCTTCTAGATAGTACATTTGTACCTTTCTATTTTTTTTTTCAGAAACATGTGCTAGAAAGCTACTTCAGTATCACTAAGGCCATACTTCCCACCTCCGACCCATGACCTCCAAAGTTGGAGAGGGAGCATCAGCTTAGAATGACAAGATGTTATTTCTTCAGTTAGGTGGTAGGTACATGACCATTTGTTTTATTATTAATTTTTATATGTGTTCATTAGATATATTATTGTCACTTATGGTATATCTCATTTTAAAAATTGAAAAATATATGACATGAAAAATAATCATGAGGTAATTTTTCTAAAGATATGAATAGGATAATTAGTCCTTTTTTCCAAAAGTCAAGGTAATAACCAGATAGTTACTCAGAGATGAAAACAGGCAAATGGCAAACCAGTTCTGATCCGAATCCCTAGAAGTATTCTTCTTTGCTGCTTTGGGGGTGACTATGCATAAAGCTATACTCAGAGCTGACATAGAGTGTATTCTTCCCAGGGAAGGTGTGGCACAGGATGTCCTGTAATCACGCCTGTTTGTCAAAAACCTCTTCTAGTGGCTATTAGCCCTAGTCATAAGACATGATGCATTGTAGCAACATCCCTGGCACATCAGATAGAAGACATCATGACACCTTGGACCCAGAAGACATTCCAGCTGGACACCTATAATTCTAAAAGATTCCTGCAAGTGTTTTTTTTTTTAAGTGGACCTGTTTTAGAGTGGCAGTGACTACTGGTCAACAGGTAAAAAACTTAAGCCCATATACTCACATGGATGTGAAAAATTGGTTATCTTCCTAAAATTTGAAGGGCCAGGAAAAACACATAAACAGGCAATAAAAGAAAAGTCATGGAACAAATGGGCAAATTGACACCTCAAAAGAGGGTAACCAAGCTGAGCCACCAGAATAAATGGTCCCTGACATGAAACGAATTACAGTAATGCAAGAGGTAAATTAATTCATGTACTGAGATTTATAAAATAGCAACCAAGGGTGAGAATTATGACTGCAGCAATAACTGGAAAAAGATGCCCTTGAGATCCAATCTGATCTAGCAGTAAAATAATGTAATTGGTGAAATGGAAGAAAAATTCAGTAGAAGCAAAGTCAAGGAACATGTACCTGAATGTAGACCGAGAAAAACAAAACCAAGCGAAACAGAGACTTGGGAAATTTAAACAAAAAATATGATATGTAGAGTATTCATTCAGGAGGTCCAATATTTAAATTTTCCAGAAGTGAGAACAGAGAGAATGAGAGAATGAAGGTAAAAGTCATCAAAGAAAAAAATCAAGTCCCCTAGAACTGAAAGGACAAGTGGATAGGGGTCCACAAGGCACTTATAATAAAACATCACTAACTTTGTTGCA